GTCGTTCTGTGCTTTACTTACGGCTTACCTGTTAAGGTGCTTTCGGTCGTCATGGCCGTCGGCGGAGTTGTTGTGATGTCACTGGGTGGAGAAATGAAGGCACAGTGGGAAGGCATCACCCTTCTCAGTATCGTCTGCTGCCTCTGCTGCTTTTTATAAGGTACCCATAGTTTTAATTTTTACTTGTATTTTTTGATAGGCTACTTTCTGAAGGGGGAATTTCTTCTATGGTCTCGGACACTGTATCTTTCTGAGGGCTTTCGAGGGCTGCAAAAAAGCGTCACTAACGCGAGCTGATGCAAGAAGTTTGGCGCAGTCTGAGTTCGATATCGACAGTCGCGAATAAGTAGTAAATATCGATCAGCACTACCGCGCTGAAATGGCGCCAACTCCTTCGCGTCAGTTCGCAGCACAACCCTGGGTGTTCGTATGGAAGCTAAAATGAATTCAACATTTTATGGGTTTTTATCTTCCAGGTGCTCTTCAAACGATACCTTGGCAGTGCTAATCTCGGTCAGGTGTCGTTGTTCATGACATGTTTGGGATTTTTGAATCTCCTCTGCAATTGGATTCCGGCTCTTGTTCTTCTTCTCACTGACGTCGAACACATCGAAATGGCGTACGTTCCATGGGCGCCTGTGTGTGGCGCAGCGCTTTTATCACTACGTGAGTTATGTCTTCGATTGATCTAATTATTTTTTATTTATTTATTCAATACGCTGTGTAAGACAACGTTAGAAAGGAAAATACGCAATAAAACTATAACATCAACGAGAAGCTGAGGTAAATATAAACAAGTAAAATCAGTATACTGCCTACATAACAAAATCTCGATATAAAGACTAACGCGATATTTAATAGCACTATTGAGGCGTTTGCAAATATTGTTAAAGGCAAAAGTCGGGCTCAATAAGGGGGTATTATGGCGATTGAAACTGAGTATAGAGATGCGAAGTGGAACGACAGTGGAGAAAAAACTGAGAAAAAACCGTCGACAAGGCCGTTAACAAAACCCTCTTTCCCACTAGCAGTGAAGGAGGCTGGCTTGGGAAAGAGGCACGTACAAACAAGTTTTCTGGAGATGTCAGTCGTTCTATCGGTTGATACGGCAATCAACCTAGCTGATTTCACACGTTATGCCAGCCACGCACCACTTCCGGAGGTGGGCGGTCCTGGATTGACCAGGCGGCCCTGGATTGAAACCGAACGCCCCGGGGCCTTAACGGGGTTTTTCAAGGTGGGAAGTTGCTGCAATGTGTGCAGCTACCCACATACAACCTCCAGGCGGGAATTACTTCTCTAGCGTGCCTGAGCCCGACCTTTGCCTTTAAAGGGCAGGGGGTCATATGGCGCGGCGCGATCTGTGTCGCGCGTTAGCATTGTAGCGCTTATATTGCCTCAACTACTAGACTTCAACAATTAATCACTCTGGGGCGAATACATAGCAAAAGCCCCGACAGGTCTTCGGTGATAATCCTTGAAAGGGCTTACGGCGAGTTGCTGCGCACGGCCCCTTGAAAAAGTCGGGTCTCAAAGATCCTCGAGGCAAACTTAAAAGCACACTCACGATTGGGTGCCCTCACCTATGTTGTTTCCGCATTTTCACGAAAAGATGGTAGTTGTGTCTCCGTTTGAAATATTTCCAAAAATTTATTTAGTGTTCAACTTCCTTATCAATTTCGGCATAGCGCTGTTACACCCACTGGTAGTTTCTGTTGGTATGCTGATGGGGATCCCTCTGAATACAGGTGAGTTTTGAGGATTTTTCTAGGACTTTCACTTACCACGCATTATTACATTATCTTATCGCTGTTTGATAATTTTAATTTTATATAATAATAATTAACTTTTTATAAATATTTTATATAATAATAATATAATTTCATTAAATTTAAGTTGTGGGAACTACTGAGTAAGGTCCACTCAGCTACTCTTCGGACACCATACATTTCTATTTATAAGCACTGCTCACAAGAAGTTTGATGCTTACAAAAAAACGGATATTGAATTCGGGGCGTGGCCAAAATTTTCTTCGCGGCAGACGCGTTCCACTACGCAAGAGATTTACGATCATTTGTACCAACCTAATTTGCGCACTATAACAACTTTAGGAGGGATTTGTGCGAATGAATTGGGGTCTATATTTAGGGAGTGCCGGGCATTATCCTTGCCTGCTGATATTACTACCGCAGTGTGGTATTGCCTGCACTGAAATAGAATACCCAAAAACCTTCTGTTGTGCCCGTTTTCTTTTGTTGGGCGGGGTGGGGGGACGGGACTTACTGTGGACGTATCACCGGAATGGGCTTACTTCATGCGGCACAAAAAGCACAGTGAAAGCCAAATCATTCTGCAAATTGCCCCCGCAGTTTTGATATGAGCCCAGAGAGATCTCCAGCAAGAAAAAAAAATAAAAAAATAGAAAAAATAAAAGAGAAGAAAAAGGTGACCTGTCTGAATCTAATCGTAAGCCTGAAAAGTAGTAGTAGAGTGTTGAATGGTTTACAGCGCATAAGATTTCGAAATAAAACGGATGTGAGGAGGAAAAGTGAAAATAGACGGGTGAAATAAATGCGAAGCGCTTCTTTTATTCCATATCTAATTCTATTTTTTGTTTTTTACTCGTTTTCTCAACTAAGGCCGATGTCAGACTTTGCGAATCGCGCGATTCGCTACTAGCGCGATTCGCTAGCGTCCGCGGTCGCGTTGCGGTACCAGCCAATTGAGTGATTCACTGGCCGCGACGCGACCGCAGACGCTAGCGAATCGCGCGATTCGCAAAGTCTGACATCGGCCTAAAGCTGATCTATTCAGTGATCGACGTGCTGTTCCGACATGTGAACCTCACAACCAACTTCATCATCGGCACCGCCCTGATCATGGCCTCGTTTGTGCTCATCGTGTTTCCCTACGAGCTGCTTTTTCGACGGAAATCCGTTCAATTAACGGAAACGGACCTCACAACTCAAGAAACACACGAGCTTCCGGACCATATTCGGCAGGTGTTCGTGGATGGACGGTCAGCTGTCAAACCCGGTGCCCATTATGGCTCCGTAGAGCTACGGGCAACCCCGGCATAATGTGTTAACCGAATAACATACAATGTTGTACATACCGATCTAGAGTCATGATTTATGTGTATTCTCTAGGTTCCTGATTGCTACCGTTGTTTTTTGAAAGCTCTAATCATCACGTGTATAAGTTATTGATTTTTATAGTATTGACCTCGGAATTAATGGTCATAAAAGTCGATTTCAATCCCACTGCAGTTACAAATCGCAACGCAAACGCAAACCACGCCCACCCAATAGCAGACAGTTATTAAAGCCAGTAATGAAAAATAAAGCGTAGTCCGAATTTGGAAGGTTAGCTATAAACGGTAAAGAATGGCATGATCGGCCTGATCTGACGGTTGTTCATACTCAGCCGCTTCGCGACTGCTCGCTTGAATGTAGTGATCGAGTTAATAGTTTCCTCGCATCACCTCGTTGCTTATAGGATGTAATTTTATGCGTTCTACCAGCTAATCAAATCCTGGATTTCAAGCATAGAATTATTTGGAATGCGCCACGCTTTCAAGTTTGACGCAGTTTTCACAAACGCGTTTCAATGTATCGGATCCGTCGTGCTGGGATAGATCTAAGGCGCTATTTGATACTTGCATAGACATACTTGCAGTAAAAGTAAAGGAAGGTCAGTAGGAATATGTAGTCTATTCAACTTCGCGTCGAATGAATGAAATCACCTTGTTGTAGGCAAAGGTAAAGTTCGAGATCAAACTGATGTGTTATTGTAAGTGACAGTGGAAATGTGAAGTCTAACCGTCAGTAACAAAAAGTGGAAGAAACCGTTGGCAAGAACAAAAATAA